TTTAAATCACATATTTTAAGGAATGCTTTTCTTCGAGTTGGGAAGAAGTATTATTATAGGTTAAATTATAAAATACCTATTTGGGGGATTCCTGGACATGTAATTGTGGGAGTCTCTAAGGGGATGAATTTCAATAAAATTTCATATAAGGAGTTATTAATTTGGTCAGGTAACGATTGGCAGCTAAAATCTTTAGACAAGACATATTAAGACAAAAAAATATTTTATATTCATGGTTTCAATACATACAAATTGTGGATAGGTGGACAGTAGATAAGAAAGTTGGAATAACATTAGGAGATGAAAACTTGATTATTCAGATTAAAGATCAGAATCATGCTCATATTAAAAGAATCTACGATGAGTTAATAAAATTGGATTCGGAAACAGAGTTAATAAAAGATTGTATGATTAAATGGGCTCAGAATATCCAGGAACCGATTTTATTGGATCAATGGGAAAATATTTGGATTAGAAATGTTAAATTTACACAGGCCCAAAATTTGAGGGGAAATTTTTACAAAATGTTTTATAGGTGGCATTTGGATCCCAAAAAATTGTCTTGTATGTATCCTAACTTACAGCCCAAATGTTGGAGGTGTGGTAGTACTGATGCAACTTACTTTCATGTTTGGTGGACCTATAAGAAGGTTAAAGCTTTTTGGATAATGATTTGGTGGAACATTCAAAAGATGTTTAAAAAGAAGATGAAGTTTACTCCTCAATTATTTTTATTGGGTATTTTTATGGATTTAGATGTTAATGAAACTATTTTAATGTTGAATCTAATAACTGCAGCAAGGTTACTTGTAGATTTATATTGGAAGATGGATTCACTGCCTACTTTAGAAGAATGGATACTTAAGGTTTCTATTTTAGCGGAAATGGCAAAGCTTTCTCCTTATTTAAAGGACCATACGCAAGAAAAATTTATTATAGTGTGGAGAAGGTGGATAGATTATATTCAGAATAAATCTGGTACTTTAAAGTTCCATTTATTTTATGATTATTTTTTTCTTGATGTAATAATTATTATTTATAGAATTTTATAATATTTGATTTATAGTAGATTTGTTTATATTATTATTTTTAAAGTTTAGAGGGAGTTAAGGGTTAAGTATGAATTTGTTTATTGTATAAATTTTTTGTTTTAAACATTATAGCTTGTGTTTGTTTTGTTTACAATAACCCTGTATTTTGCTCTGGGAAGCGGGGGGGGAGGGTAGGGCGGGAGGGGATGGGTGGGATTAAGTAGGTTAGATATATATAGAAATATTAATGTATAAAATAGATAGAGTAATTCAGAGGGAGGTGCTGCTCGAGTATTTCCCCTGAATTGTATCGGAAGAGGGATGAGAGGGGAGGAGGAAGGGATGGAAGGAAGTTGGATGGGAGGAAGGGATGAGGGGAGAGAGGAGATGAGAAAAGAGAGGGAGTAGGGAAGTAGGAAGGAAGGTTGAGAGGGTGGACGCAGTCGGGGGGAGATAGACGAGAGATACCTAAGGTCTTCTTTTAAAGGTATTTTTCTTTTTTATTTTTTTTATATAATGTATTGAAAGTATTAATTGTATTGAAAATTGAAATAAAAATTTTTACAAAAAAAAATTACAAAATGTTTTTTTTAAGTTTTTATTTTTCATTTATCAATTACATAAACAAAAAAGAAAAAATTTCACATTTGACAAAATAAAATAAATACACCTAGGTGTTGCTTGCCCACCCCCCCCCCCAAACTGCATCCGCCCTCTCTAACACTCTCCCTTACTTCCCTCCTCTTTCTCACCTCCCTCACCTCTCTCTCCCCTCCTCCTCTCCTCTCACCATCCTACTTCCTCCCTAACCTTTCTTCTCCACTCTCATCCCTCTTCGGATACAGTGCCGGGGAAATGCCCAAGCAACATCTCTCTCATAAGTTGTCCCATCTATTATCTTACTTTAATCCTTTTGTCTAACCTACTTTCCCACCCACCCCCAACCCCCCTCCCCCCCACTCCCCAGAACACCCACCCACCCCCAACCCCCCTCCCCCCACTTCTCAGAGCTTGGCACAGGGTTTTCAAACATATTAAACAAAATCTACTTAACTTTAACTAATACAAACTGAATTTAACTAAACCTATCCAACTATACAAATAACAAAATCAATAACTTACTTTAACTCAGATACAAAACAAATTTAAACAACAAATTCAAACAAATTAAAAAATTTAAACCAAAAATTATTCATAATCAACTATAAAAATCAAATACAAAGCAAATTAAACAATTCCAAATTTAAACCAAAAATTGTTCATAATCAAAACGATACCTTTAAGGGGGGGTTGGGGTGGGAGGGAGGAAATGTGGGGGGGTAAGTGTAATATAGATAATGGTTGCTTATAGGGGTGCAGCCTGGGCACTCCCCTTATGCTGTGTTCATGGGTTTGATAGGGATGAGAGGTGAGAAAGTGTAGAGAGGAAGTAGGGTAGTGAGAGGAGATGGGGAGGGGAAGAGATTAGGATGGGAGGTGAGAAAGAGGAGGGAAGTAGGGAATGTTTCAAGAGAGGGTGGACGCGGCCCGGGGGGAGTGGGCAGGTCGTACCAATGGTTATGAATTTATTTCATTTCAAAATTGTATTGTACTTTTTTATATATATAATGTTTATATGGAAAAAATAAAAAACTTCTAATAAAAAAACGATACTTTTAATCATATCTACTCTAATCATAATTTATCCATTAAATCCCATATTTATTCTTCACATAATTTATCCACCTTCTCCACCCCGAGATGTATATTTATTTTAAACAATATAAACTTGGCTCTTAACTCTTTCCCCCCCAGACCCAAGTAAATTTATTAATCATAAATTTAACCTTTTCTCCTAAATCAAAACCTATCAACTTCTTGTACACTTTTAATATATCATAATATATCGTAATTATCTTTATACGTTTATTAAACATTATAATAAATACTCCCAAATATTAAATCGCTAAATTAAAACCTATCAAGTCTTCTCCCAAACAGAGATCATAATTTTAAATTTTTAAACTTTTTCCCCTAAATAACAAAGATTTATAAAAACTCTTTATAATTTCCCCCCCCCCCAAAAAAAGCTAGCTAGCCGGCTGATATTCCAACTTTTCCTTCTATTGTCTAGCGCGTAGAAAATGGCGGAGAACCTTCCTTTATTTTACTTCTGAAAGCTGCACGAGTCATACTCAATTTCTTTAATGAATCTTCTGTTAAGGACTGCTGCAAAAGTTCAACCTGCATATCTTCTTCAATCAGCTGCTCTTCCAACTTTTCTTCTGATGTCTCAGCTGTGGGTAATGAAGAGCCCGCCTTTATTTTGCTTCTGAAAGCTACACGAGTCATACTTAATTTCTTTAATGAATCTTCTGTCAAGAAAGATTGTTGCAGAGGTTTAACCTGTATATCTTCTTCAATCTGTTGCTCTTCCAACTTTTCTTCTAATATCTCAGCTGTGGGTAATGAAGAGCCTGCCTTCAAAACAAAAGTGTAAAAATCTTTCGCTTTTGAAATTGTATCAAGTCTATAATGTATCCCCGCATAATTCACCGCTATTCCAACCAGTATTTCCCATCTGAACCGGACCTGTCGCCTCTTAAGCTCATCAGCCAGAAAAACAAAATGCTTTCTTACTTTAAGAATTCTTGAAGGTAATTCTTTCAAAAGTATAACATCCTGAGCTGCAATTTGAAATCTCTGCTTATAAATGGCTTGTAAAATTTTATTACGAAGTGATCTACTAGAAAAATAAATAACCACATCTCGTGGCAGATTCCTCTGCCTCGCAACCCTTGAATTAACCCTAAAAACTTTTTCCGTCTCTCTCAATATTTCTTCAGGCTCAGATTTCAAAATAAAAGCTATGTCCTTTACGACCACTTGTCTCAAATCCTCTTGAATGTTTTCCTGCATTCCCCTTATTCTTAAAGCAAACTCCATACTTCTGTATTGTAACATAGTAATTTCATCCTGAATTATTTCCACCTTATTTTCTGTTTTATCAACTCGATCTTCCAATTTTTCAGAACTTTCTACAGCAACATCAATACGCTGATCCAGACGATCTATATGATCAACAAACTTCTGAAACACAGACGCTATATTTTCTCTCAGTTTCCTAAATTTATTTTCAATAATTTCACCTATCTCTTAAAAATTACAAAATGTTAATCCATATTTTTATACCTGACTTAGAATTCTTTTTTAACATTATTTTGCACTAGGACAATGAATGCATGATCCCTTCAGGAAAAGTTGCATGTCTTAGACCAAGTTTCAGAAATTGAATGGCTCTTGCTATGAAACCTCAACCAAAGATTACAATGGGGTTGAAGGAAGACAGATGATATCTTCTGTTACTAACTGAGTCTGTGTGACAACAGGGGTGTCAAACTGCCGGCCCGCAGGCCGGATGCATCACGTGGAAGCCATGCCCACCCCACTGCCAGCAATGGCAAAACCGGCCCCATACGTTGCGCAACATTACATGATGTCGCGGGTTTGACATGCCTGCTATACAATATGTTGTGGAAGGGCTGGAGGGGGGCACCAGCATCTTCCCAAAGCAGAACTTAGAAAGAATACTACCTGGTCCCATTGCATAAAGATTTCTTCTGCTAGGTGTTTATTTGCTTTGATCTTGTTTCCTTTTCCATATGCCCCACTGTCAAAGGTTCCATTCCAAAACATTTTCACAATGTAACAGCAGGATCTTTTGTTCTTTGGGAAAAGGAAGGCAAGTTGAAGAATGTAATATCTTAACTCATTCCTTGAATTCAGTTACATATGCTGAATGTAAAATGCGTTTCTGTTAAAACTTCTAAGACCAATATGTGAGGGACAAGAGAGAGGACAGGTTAAGTACTGCAATCCCTACAGTCATTATTGCTAATTAGTCCTTTCCAGGCATAGCTACTGTGGAGATGTTGTGACTGGTGAGCAATGTGACAACTTTCTGTTGGCTCATTCTGTTGCCAAAAATGGTTTGCTAATTCCCTCCAGAAATGTTCAATAAAACCTAAAAAGGAAGTGCTATTTTATTCATTAGAACAAAATTTGAGCTGCTTTGACAACTTTTAACATGTTGAAACCCTAATTCCAGAAGCCAGACTTTTGATTATTTTACTTTGTCTGTTTCTTTAAGTAACAAATATACAGCTCAAGTGTGTAGGGGAGCAAAGGATGTGCAATTACTGTGTCCAGGTGGCAGAAGCTATCTTTTGCTTCAGCAAAGGGTTCCTTTGAGAACTCTGAATCACCTGCCTCCAGCTTTCTTGCAATAAAGAAAGTGTCTCCACCCAGTAAGTGAGACTAATAGGTCATTGTCCCTTCTTCTAGGAAATTCAACAAAAGATAAATCTCTCACTTGTGAATAATAGCTTTACTACTTTCAGAGAGAAGCAACAACTATAGTGAGATACTGTTCAGATGGCATTATATGGTTTCACAGTTGTAAGAACAACTTCAAATAGGACTTTCATCCTGCAGAGCTTCTGTCCCTTTTCTTCATTCACACATGGACCTGTCTGGAGCTCCTCTTTTTCCAGAACTTAGTGAGAGCTCTTCACTGTAAAGGCAACAGTCATAAAGGTTGAGTACATTTTAAAATAGAAGTAATTAGTAAACAACTGCACTTTCTCCCCTCCCTTTGCAGAATGCCCCAAAGCAGCACCCGAATTCTCTGTCCCATGCTTGAGCCCTCCTTCTGGAATGGATCTCCTCCATCCTGCCTCATATAATCAAGCCAGTTTCTTCTTTTATTCTAAAAAGCCTCTCTTTTTTCCTGGCTAATGTGCTGGGCATTTTTCTCCCTGGTAAGTCTGTCAGCCAACTTCTTTTCATTTTGCTACAGGGAGGGGATCCCTGCTCAGAGGAGAGGAAGTATTGTTTTTCCTCCTCCCCTTCCTTTATGCTCAGATTGCTTTCTTTGCCTCCTGTTTCAGACCAAGAAAAAACTTCCCAGTATGGTTCTTTCTCTCTTTTATGCTACTTTTCTTTTTTCTCTATTCCCTAGCTATGACACTATTGTCCAGCTGCGATCCTGCCTCGTCTTCTTCTTTTTTAGAATTTTTTAAAATTCCATCCTTATTATTGTTATAGATAACTCAAAATGGTGAACATACCTAATACTCTTTCCTCCTTCTATTTTTCCACAACAACAACTCGGTGAGGTGAGGTGAGCTGAGAGAAAAGGACTGGCCCAAAGTCATCCAGAGGGGGGGGGGATCAATATATTATTTTTTTCAAGCAAATTAGAAATACTCTCCAAGGTCATATACAAGTAAAACCTCCTGGAAAATGTTAGGTCTTAAATTAAGGGCACAGTCAAATTCAGCTTCACACATAGTCGTACCATGTTTTTTTCTACAATTAGAAGCACAGATAAACAACCAAACAACTGCAGAAGTGTCTTACAACACTCCCTATGATATTCCTGAGTGTAAAAGGAAAAACACCAAACCATTGTAGTCAGATTGCTCAGCTAACATCATAGTCATTTGGCTCCTGCTTTTTCATTCTCTCACCCCATCCCATCTCCATTTCTACAACACAGGAAAATATGATGTTCCCAAAAATATTGTATATGGCAATAATTAAAGCCAATTACATCCTAAGAAGATAAGTCTATTAAAATGCATAATTGCTTATTATACTGTCCCCTATGCAAAAGTTTTGCCTTAGTACCTATATTTGCCTTGTAAATGGGCTATACATTGAGAGCAAATATCCTACTTTCCAAATACATGACCACATTAATACTTAAAATGAAGTGTACATTTGTAAGTATGTTGAATAATTTAAAATGCATATCAAGCCAATTTAGCAGCAATAGCTTTACATATAACTTTTATTAGATACGCTTCCATTATTTATCTTGTATAGCACAGCAACTATAAAAAAAAATAAAATGTAGTAGCAAAAGTATATGAAGGAGTTGCCAGAAAAATGTTTTCAACTATATAAAAACAGTATTATGACATTATAGACTTCTTGTCAGGAAGAAACTACACCGAAACTGTAGTTAAAGAGACCAAAAGTGGAAGAAAGCACATTTGTCTTAAAGGACAGGAGTCTTCCTAAGAGGTTAAATAATAGAACCAATCAGGAAAGGGAGGCAGTTCCCGTCACTGGATGCCTTCAGAGAGGAGGCAGTCATTTGTCTGGATGATTTAATCTGGATTCTTGCACTTAGCAGGCAGATGGATTTAATGGTCTAAATACACTGATATGTTCTTATTATTATTTTATGCACTTTTCTGGGACCAAACCCCTAGGGCAACTTATACCAGGAATTGCCTTTTTAAAATACATACAAGAAATTAGGACACATATAAAAGCAATATTAAAAACATGTGATCAATATGAAATAGGCTTGGGGGGGAAATAAAACTTTCATCGGACATTTAAGAGAATTCCCATTATACCTGATAGACGGGTTCAAATTCATATGATGAGACAAAGAATTTTTGAAGATCAACATTCAACTGAAACAAAAAAAAATTTTTGCTGGCATTAATGGACAATCAGCTAGAAGTAGCAGAGAAGGCAAAATTAATTTGTTTGAGTAGAGAAAGAGCAACAACAACTTTTATTAGTGGCTGGAAACCCCTTGATGAAGAAAAAAAGAGAGAAACATGAAGTTTTGAAGATTAAAAAGGATAACTTAAGGAAAGAAAAAAAATATGATATAAGTTATAACCTTAGAGAAAGAGGGTAAAATATAAATATATCTATAATCACAATCAAGACCAGAAGCTGCTTCTTTCCTTTCCTTTTTTATTTCTTTTTCTATGTTCTTCTTCACTAATTTTCTTTCTTTTCTTTCTTTTCTCTTATATATATTATTTTTTCACCCCACTCCATCTTCATTTCTACAACACAGGCAAATATGATGTTCCCAAAAATATTGTATATGGCAATAATTAAAGCCAATTACATCCAACATACATAAAATATGATAATTGTTGGGGCCCACATAGTGTTCTAACACACAACTAAACAAACAAATTTGTCAGAATATCACAAAAGGTGATCACATGACCCTGGGACAGTGTAACCATCATAAATATGAGTCAGTAGCCAAACATCTGAATTTTGATCACATGACCATGGGGATGCTGCAACTGACTTGTGGAAAAACAGTCATAAATCACTTTTTTCAGTGTCATTGTACCGTGTTTCCCTGAAAGTAAGGCCTACCCCAAAAATAAGCTTTAGCTTGATTTTGGGGATGGGTCTAATATAAGCCCTACCCCCAAAATAAGCCCTAGTTTGGAGCGAGGCACAAACCTAAAAATCAAGCTAGGGTGGAGGTGGGGAGCTGCCCCATGTGCCCCGCACCCACTTATGTTGCAGCCAGGCAGGCCTCTCCTCACCAGCCCACTTCTTCTGAGGCGTCTTTTGCAGCCAGGCCTGTATTCCTCAGCCATAGGCTTTTCTGGAAGGCCTGTGCAGCCAAGAACTGAGCTACAGATTGAATAACTCAGCTGCAGAGGCCTTCCAGAAAGCCTTCCTGACTGCAAAATGCAGGCTGGAATGCAGCTGCAGAATGAAGCTGTTCCTTTGGCCCCAGAAGAAGTGGACCGGCTGGGCGAAGCTGTTGGTGCTGGAGATGAGAATAAAAGACACCCCTGGTCTTATTTTTGTGGAAACACGGTAACTTCAAGTGGTCACTAAATGAACTGTTGTAAGTCAAAGAATTACTATATGTGCTTCTGAAGAGGGTGGCTGTTGAGGATGCTCATACTAATCAGTATGATTGCAAGAGAAAAAGCTGCATTCCTTCCTTTGTGAGATTGTATATGCACATACCTATGGATGTGTATACATAGGAATTAGAATATATATTGAGGCTAATAAACTGCTATCTTAATAGCAACATGAACAACACACAACCAAAAGCCTGCGTATGTATGGATGTGTGTAGAGATGTTCTAAACTATTTTTCTCCTATTTCTATCAAAATTTCCTATTTTTTTCTATTTGTTGAGATTGCCTTTTTCTGCCCAGTATTAAAGTATTCCTGTAGCATAGACAAAGGAGAAAATTTTGATTAATGTGTTTGTTTGTTATGCACTGGGGTTCTCCCAAGCAAAGCACAAGTGCCTGGATCATTAGGCTTATCAGCATCTTATCCCCCAGGCAAGTGCTAATCCAGTAACAATAACAGTAACAGAGTTGGAAGGGACCTTGGAGGTCATCTAATCCAGCCCTCTACTCTCACAGGAGACCTATACTATTTGTGATAAATGACTGTCCAGTCTCTTCTTAAAAACCTCCAGGGATGGGGCACCCACAACTTACAAAAGCAATTTATTCCACTGGTTAATTGTTCTCACTTTTAAGAATTTTCTCCTTAGTTCTAGGTTGCTTTTCTACTTGGTTAATTTCTATCCATTGTTTCTCGTCCTGCCTTCTGGTGCTTTGGCTGCCTTGTGGCAGCCCTTCAAGTATTGGTCCTTCTTTTCCCTACACTAGACATACCCTTCCTGCAATGCTCTTCATAGGCTTTAGCTTCTAAGCCCCTAATCATTTTTGTTGCTCTTCTCTGAATTCTTTCTAAAGTCTCAATATCTCTTTTGTATTGGGGTGACCAAAACTGGATGCAATAGTCTAAGTATTCTCAGTCTAACTGAGGGGAACTTCCCAGTTAACAGGTGAATCCAAGGGAGCTCCCAAAGTCTGAAGTAATGTATTTTCAGCTTTTCTCTTCACATTGACATCACCCACTTTAGTAGCAGTAGATTTCTATTTTTGTTTATTTTGTTATTTGGGATTAAACAATAGCCAGGGATAATTCAGCCACTGTTTGGAAGCATAGTTCCTTTGTTAAGGTCCTATAACTCCCCATACCCCAAAACTTCACAATGATCTATAACCCACAAAGTCCAAATCCCTCATATTGAAAAGGAAGCTGGTAGCACAAAGTTCTCAGATACTCTGGAAGGAAAATTGCCCAAGATTTGCAGAATAAGGAGACTTAAAGTAATAAGGCTTCGTCGAGCCCAACTGAGAAACACCAAGGGGGGAAAAATATTGCTACAATCAGTGTCAGTCACATTTTCTATCTTTTTTTTCCATAATGTGAAGGTTGATCTTAGGTAGGTTTCCTTAGGCAACCAATTACAAGACAGAAGTGACAATACACACGTTCACAATTATCCATATGCAAATGCATACAAAGATATTATCCATTCTCTCTGGACAGACCAATTGAAATATGCAGAGTTTTGTCAACACCATTCATGTTCTGTTTCAACAGAGCAATTACTTTTCACATCCTGCGTTTGGTACCTATGCAATCTCCTGACTGAAAAAGTACCCTGCAACCCAGATTGAGGTCCTTCAGTATTCCCCTGGCTCCTTCTCCTATTTTTTTTTCTGTGAACAAATGAACTGCCCAGACATCATGTATTTTAAAAAACTAACAATGTAATGTTATGCCTGTTAAGAGAGCTGAAAGTAAATACACATTTTGATAAATATGCTTTGGTAAGTTGAAGTAATAAAGTACTTCTCTGAGAAAAGCTTCTCCCTATTGCCAGTGCAGTATCTTCAATATTTCCAGTAATGATACACTTATAAGCAACAGGATAAAATATGAGTGTTTGCAGAATATGGTGCCAAAAAACCAAAAGGGCAACCCATGACTCTGCTTCCAAAGCTCCACTTGGTTTTTATTTGTATTGCCCATGCAATACACATGGGAGAAGCTTTGATTGTCTCATTTGCCATCTTGACTTTTTGAAAAATATCCTGCAGGCAACGCTGGCTTAAGATGAAATGTTCAGTTGTTTTAATTTATCTTGCCAAGTTCATTTCTCAGAAGGGAGAAGAAAAAACAAGTGGATCTGCTGCCTTGGCCTTAATCCTGTCCAAGAGAAAGGAACTGTTTTGGAAATTAAAAGGCACTAAGAGAAACACCAAGAGAAAATCTCCAAGTGGTTTTGGAATTCATTATAGCAAGAACTATAAAAACATCCACTGAAGACTGGAAAAGTAAATCTAAAGTAGCTTTTTAATGTGCTGACACTTTAAAGGGAGCTCTATAATAGATGGAACCAGGGATATATGTTCAATGAAGACTACAGCAAAGGAAACCAATCATGGAATGGAAAAATGCTATCAAAAAGTAAAGCCAAAAACTGAGGCTTATGAAAGAGTTAAGAGAGGGAAGGGAGACGTTTTTACCTACTGAGTAAAACAAAGATAGAGCTGCCCTATGTTTAGAAAAATTAATGAAATCTTTAGCAGAATAACTTTGTCTTCTTTCTATATTCAAGCTGTGACAAGCAAAACAAATAAGAGGGAGCTGCAGTGAATGACGGTAAGGAAAGAGAATTCCTCTGAAAGGAGCAAGGCACCAATTTCATTTTATAAAACCTCAAACCATAGAGAAGCATCTAGCAGTGTTGGCCCTGTCACTCTGATGATGTCATAGTGCCCTTCTCTATACCTCTTGTAGCCCTGAAGCAAGGAGGGAAATTACAGCGCAGCCCCTAGGCAGAAAACACATCCCCTTTGTTCTAAAGCTTTAATTTTCTTGGCTGCCGTCTCCCATCCCTTCTCATGTCCTTTGTGCTGTTCTCTATCACATTATTAATTCTTGTGTCCAACTCCTGACTTTCAAAAATCAGCTATTAATCCCTGCATCAAATTACCATGTGCATATGCATGTGTATGCAGAGAAAGAATGTCATACAGGTAGTCCTCAGTTTACCACCACAATTGGGATCAGAATTTCCACTGTTAAGCAAGGTAGTCATACCTGATTTTATGATATTTTACACCACAGTTAAGAGAATCACATAGTCATTAAGCAATTCTGGCTTCCTCCATTGACTTTGCTTTTCGAAAAGAGCTACAACTATCGCAGATATGATCACATGACTCAGAACACTGCAATCCTGCTAGTTGCCAAGCACTCTAATTTTGGTCATGTGATCCAGGGGGATGTTGCATCAGTCGTAAGTGCAAGGACCAGTTGTGAATAACTTTGTTCAGTGCTGTTGTAATTTCGAATAGTCACTAAACTAATGGTTGTAAATCAAAGACTACCTGTATATAGGTCCTTCTTGAGCAGTGAGCTGCAGAATTAGGTTCAGGAGTCAATTAACTTTACTTGGGATATTTAAACAGAGACTTGAACAGTCGGTGTGTGTTTGAAATTGTTTAGTGTCATCCTACACAGTGAATTTTATATGGAGGACAAACTTTGTCTGAATGTTCTCTATGAGTCCAGTTCCACACATGTCTATACCTGAAGCATTCAGTGGTTTCTTTTTCCTGCCTCAAAAGACAGAAAGAGTTAGCAGTCACGACTGGCACAATATAACCTATTATGAACTAACCAAGATCTTGGAGGGATCTGAGCTGGATTTAAAATGGGCTAAAAGGGAAACACCAACACTTGTATTCTAAAATCTCCTTTCTTTGCTGAGATATAGGACCATCTATATCTTAGCTTTGGAGTAATTGACAGATT